CGCGCATCCTTATACATGCGTTGGAGCAGAGCCAGCTGGGAGTTTAATTGCTGCACCTCATTTGTCCTACTTTGCAGCCGGTGCGACAAGTTTGTGACCGCCGTCATGGACTCCACACATGCCTTCAACGTATACTGATTGGCTTCCACATCCGACTGCACCGCCATTTTTTGCTCCACAGATCGCATCGGAAAGTTCAGCGGAGCAAACCCAGCAGTGTTTGGTTGAGATTCACTGGCCACCGCACCAGTTCTCTCTCCTGTGGCCTCGTTCAGGTCGGGAAAGAGAGTGAGCAACCCACGGGACGACGAAGCCATTTTCTAGGCAACAGAGTATTACAGAGTCTCTCTCTCAGAAACGGCAGAGTTTTTCAGCGGATTTCGCAGGTTTTTTGCTTCAGCCTCGGCCTTAGGCTCTGTCTTGGTTAAATAGCCGAGGCAGCCACGCGCATCGCGCGCCTCTTGACGCCGACAACCTGGCACGCCAGCCAAGGCACTCACGTGCCTCGCCATCATATCTGGCACGCCTTTTGATGCTTCGGGCACGCCTTTTGATGGTACGCCTTTTGACAGATTGGGCACACCTTTTTAGGGCACGACTTTTGAGGGCTCGATATCTACATCCATGTATATTTTTTGGGCAGCCTATATACACACTCATACAGTGTCTTCTACACCGGTCAGCTTTATCAATCTCTTTTCAACCTCAAATAGGTTTTTATCTTCACACCTATTTGAGTTTGAGGGGGGGTTATACACAGTATCATGTTCAAGTCACCTCATGGCGCACTCCCTAAGTCGCCCCCTTGGTGCACCACCACAACTCTAGCAGGACAGTTTACGAGGTCATGTCGGACCGATGTAGCAGGACAGTTTACGAGGTCATGTCGGACCGATGTAGCAGGACAGTTTACGAGGTCATGTCGGACCGATGTAGCAGGACAGTTTACGAGGTCATGTCGGACCGATGTAGCAGGACAGTTTACGAGGTCATGTCGGACCGATGTAGCAGGACAGTTTACGAGGTCATGTCGGACCGATGTAGCAGGACAGTTTACGAGGTCATGTCGGACCGATGTAGCAGGACAGTTTACGAGGTCATGTCGGACCGATGTAGCAGGACAGTTTACGAGGTCATGTCGGACCGATGTAGCAGGACAGTTTACGAGGTCATGTCGGACCGATGTAGCAGGACAGTTTACGAGGTCATGTCGGACCGATGTAGCAGGACAGTTTACGAGGTCATGTCGGACCGATGTAGCAGGACAGTTTACGAGGTCATGTCGGACCGATGTAGCAGGACAGTTTACGAGGTCATGTCGGACCGATGTAGCAGGACAGTTTACGAGGTCATGTCGGACCGATGTAGCAGGACAGTTTACGAGGTCATGTCGGACCGATGTAGCAGGACAGTTTACGAGGTCATGTCGGACCGATGTAGCAGGACAGTTTACGAGGTCATGTCGGACCGATGTAGCAGGACAGTTTACGAGGTCATGTCGGACCGATGTAGCAGGACAGTTTACGAGGTCATGTCGGACCGATGTAGCAGGACAGTTTACGAGGTCATGTCGGACCGATGTAGCAGGACAGTTTACGAGGTCATGTCGGACCGATGTAGCAGGACAGTTTACGAGGTCATGTCGGACCGATGTAGCAGGACAGTTTACGAGGTCATGTCGGACCGATGTAGCAGGACAGTTTACGAGGTCATGTCGGACCGATGTAGCAGGACAGTTTACGAGGTCATGTCGGACCGATGTAGCAGGACAGTTTACGAGGTCATGTCGGACCGATGTAGCAGGACAGTTTACGAGGTCATGTCGGACCGATGTAGCATGACCCCGTAAACTGTCTGCTACAACGGTCCGACACGACCATACAGTGTCTCCTATCCCATTTTTAATTTTATTTGTCAGCTTATTTTTCTGTTTTGTTACTCTCTCCAAACTCAAGTTGGCTAGTACCTATCCTCCTTGAGTTTGAGGGGGGCTGTTAATGTAAATGTAAATTTACCTACACCTACCACCACCTACTACCACACCTACTACACCTACCACCAATTTACCCTCACCTACTCCTCACCTACTACCCAAATCCTCTTCTATATAATAGGAATCCTTGTAATATCAATAATACAACACAACATTCAATACAAGATATCAGTCATAATACATACAATTTATTCTCTTTCTATCAAATTGTTTTACAATATATATATATATGAATGTATTTGAAAATAAGGAAATTGTAGATAATCAAAACAAGCATGAGTCGTGATTGGTTAGAAATGATGGGTACAAAGATTTATTTGCTGGAAAAATAAAAAGGGGATACAAAGTCTTACTAAATAATTTTTTTTAAATTAAAAGAATTTTTCTTAGTTATGAACAGATTTAACTGAAATCAGCTTGTTTCCCAATGTTATGCTTCATTTATTTAGATAGAAAATATTTTTTAATGAGAAATAT